CGGCCCCGCAGTGTCCACAGCCCAGGCCTTCCTCTTTCAGGTGAGGAGACTAGGGCCCAGGCCTGACTCCCTGCTACCACCTACCCACCACGCCCCTGAGGTTCCCTTAGGGGACCCAAGCACTGGGGACCCTGGCCTTGCCCTGCAGGGTCTCTTGGGTGGGGCACATGGACCCCCTAGTGGAATTCTGGGCACGATAATGGGGGAAGCACAGGAAGGTGGCATCAGAGAAGGCTTCTTGGAGGAGGAGTGGACTCAGCTGGTGCGGAAGCCTGGTGAGCAGCCAGGTCTGCAGATCAGGGAGACGTGGAAGCCGAGGCCAGGCGCTGCCTCACAGAGCCTTGAACACTGCGAGGAGCCTGGCTGGACCCAGCTCACTGGGAGGCAGCCTTCTGGCCAGAGGTGGCCCTGTAGGCTTCCCTCCAGGCTCCTGCACACTCACGGCCCTGCCCAGCCTCTGGGTGAGAGTCGTGACCCTGCAGGGGTCCTCTCTGAGCCCCCACCTCTTCTCCTGTGAAGTGGGCATGACTGTATTATGCTGCCGTGGACCTTAGCTGACCCAGAGCTCCTGGTGCAGGTACACCGAGGTTGGGGTGGGGGTGGGGTGGGGCAGGTGCCCTCTGTCTGCTGCCCCCTGTTGCACAGTGAGGGTGGTGGGTAGACCCGGAGCCCCGCACATCACAGGCCTGGCAGGGCTTCGCTGAGACCCTCTGCGGAGGCACGGCGGGTCGAGGTGAAGCTCTTTAACCCCACCCCCAGGCATCTGATCACAACCAGCTTTCAGAGGTGGGGTCCTCCCTGGGAGAGGCTTGAGGCCCCAGGGGTGCGACCTCTGATGACATTCACGCACCCTGACCACTGAGCGTGTGCGCAGCCGCTCCTTCCGCTGGACTCTTCCCCGCTCTCTCTCTCCACCTTCCCTGCATCACCCCTGCCCATGTTCAGGTCCTCCTCCTGGCCTCCCCTCCCTGGGAGGCTTCATCAGACATGAGTGCCCTGGGGGTGGCGCTGGTGGGGTGCGCGGAGCCCCTGTCTGTCCCTCCAGCACCAGAGCGGCTCCATCTTTCTTGCTGGCTGGATGAACCCCTGAGCAGGGCCCCACCAAGGCCTCCAGGCGTTCTTCTCACCTGGCGTTCAATGCCCGCCAACCTGGCCTGGCCTCCCTGTAGGCTACTCAGGGCCCTGCAGTGGGCTTCTGCCCCTGGCTCCACTCACTGCCCACCAGTCCTCCTAGCTGGGCAGGGTTGACACCCCCTCTAGGAAGCCCACCCAGTCACCCTGACCATCAAGGCCCTGCTTGCTCTGTCTCCCTTCCCCTGACCCCATCTACAGTGTTTAGTTGGAGTCTTGATGACTCTGTTCCCTCACCTGTGATGCTGGGAATCATATTTGTTGAATGAATGAATGAATGAATAGTAAGTGAATGAATGAAATCTAGCAGAGTGGCTGGAGGTGTGGGGTGGACTAAGTGAGAAGCATCTACAGATGCCCCACAAAGTGCAGAATAACAGAGCCAGATGCTCCTGGCCCCCCACCTGAATGGAGGCCCTGCCTGGGCCAGGCTGCCCACTGACGGGGAGATGCCTGGGTAATCCAAGGTGATCCGTGCAGGGGGAAGGAGCTCTGAAGTCATTGGACACTGTCCCCTCCTGGGGCACCCTCTCCACCCAGCCTTATGTCCACACTAATGATGGGAGCTGTGTCCACACCCCACCCCCACCCGCTCACAGCAGTGTGGGTCCTGCTACACAAGGCCAAGTCCTCTGAGGCTTAGGATGCCAGTACCTGTCATGCTGACCTCCCCTTCCCAGCAGGTGTGGGTGTGTGCTGACACCTCACTGGCTTCTCTCAGAACCACCCCATCATCCCTGCGTGCTCTCTCCCAGCTGCCTGACTGCCCCAGGGATGCCAGTCCTATAGCCTGGCTGCCACAAATGGGACCAGGGCAGCCAGGGCTTGGCCTCAGCCCCAGGACAACAGGTGGTTGCCTGGAGTTTGGTCAGGATCCCACACGCTGCCTGCAGCTGCTGCATCAGGAGCTGGGAGGGGCGGGGAGGACAGGCCCAGCTTGCCCCCAAGGAAGGAGCGCAGAGTATCTGCTGCAGGCCAAGCATCCACCGGATGCTTCATATCCACACAGCCGTTCCAAGTTTTACAGAAGAGGAAGCTGAGGCCCAGAGAGGTGAGCGGCGCGGGCCGGGTCACACAGCATGAAACTGGTATTGCTGGGGATCAGCCCTAGGTCCATCCAGGGTGGGGTGGGCACGTGGGGACTCGGAGTTAGTGTCCGAGGGGATTCTGGGGGCACAGAGGACCTGCACATGCCCGCCCATGCTCCTGATGTGTGGTCCTCATGGCCTTCCAAGGCCAACATAGCCATTATTGGGGGAACCATCTGCCTGTTTATTTTTATGATTATTCTTGGTTTCATGGCCTCTGCTTTAGAACATCGCCTGCTGTTTTTGGCTGGTCTGAGCCTCTGCTCATTCCACCCAGGGTAGCTGGGCCCTCACTGAGATCCCCAAGAGGTTCCAGACTGGCCCTGGGTCCCCTGGCAGGTACTAAGTGGTGCCAGATGGAACCTAGGGCCCCAAGCAGGCCAGAGCTTCCTCCACCAGCTCAGGGAGAGGGTCACGCAGGGACACTGGTTGAACACTGCTGAGAAGGACACCTGGGCACCTTAATGCCAACTCTGCCCCCCGTTACACCGCCTGAGAGCCTTGCTGGGCCCCGGGCCCTGGTGGAAATGCAGGTTCTCCTGGAGGCCCTGCAAGTGCTCGCCCAACCCTCCTGCTACCCGCCTTCCCTCAAGCCACCCTCTCCAGGGGCGCCTGGGGCCAGGGTTTGGGGCTGCGCCTGTCTGGCCTCAGCCTGCAGACGCTGTCCCCTCTGCCTGCCATACTGCCTCGTCCCGGGTCACCTGCCGGTGGCCCCTTGTACCTGCAGGCCCCACCCACACGGTCCTCCCTGGGGAGCCCCTCCCTGGGGGGCCCCTCCCTGGGGGACAGTGTAATCCCAGTTTATGGGCCGTCTTTGAGACGACCCCTCCCAGGGTCTCACTAACTCCTCCTAAGACACCCCCAAGTCAACGTTGCTGGCCCCATTTTGCCTGTGAGGTAACTGAGGCCTAGGGAGGTTGAGTGGTTTGTCTGGGTCATCAGGTGGGAATGAAGGAGCTGGGATTTGAACTCTGCACCGTGGACCCTCTGCCTGCACCACGCCCCTGAAGGTTTGCACCAGTCTGCTGTGCAGAGAAGGAACCAGAGGCCTAGGGGATGGCAGCTGCCCCAGGACACACAGCCCCGTGGTGAGGGCAGGGGAGTAGTTGGGACCCAGTGCTTTGGGGCGTGAGACCCGGCCTTGAACCCTGGTGCTGAGGGCACAGAGAGTCCCAGGCAGATGCAGCTCACATTCCAGGGCTCACAGCTGGGGCAAGGTGTGGGGAGTGGCTCTGGCTGGTCACCGGCAGGAGGGACCTCGGAGGGTATGGGGGAGCCATGTTTCAAACAGCGGTAGCACAGCAAATGCAAAGGCCTGGGGTAGGGGCTGCGCGAGGCCTGTGGGCCAGCCTGGGTGTGGGACAGCTTTGGCTTATTTCCAGGGCGAGCCCCAGGGTAGGGCCAGGCTCTGCCGGGGGTGCTCTTCAGGTCCCACTGCCACCTCCTTGGAGAGGCTCCTGAGGGCCCAGTGGCCCGAACCCCTTTAGCCTCTCTGTCTTACTTTATCTTCTTTGCAGATCCCCCCTCCCTGACAGCTTCATATTTATTCGCTTTCCTGTTCCTTGTTTCTCCTGTACTCAACGGGCAGTGCCAGGAGGGCCAGGGTCCGGGCTGGCCCTGCAGGCAGCAGTTGGTTGAACAAGTGAATGACGTTTAGATACTTCGGCTTCTTTGAGCCTTAGTCTCCTCCATGTGGGCGTGCCGGGACCCACTTCATCGGACAAAATGCAACCAGCCTGCGGTGTCCTGCAGGTGCTCAGAAAACCTCCGCGCACACCCCAGGGCTGCAGGAGCAGCAGGGGCTCAGAGAGTGGCAGTGACTTGCCCACAGCCACACAGCCAGGGAGCCTCCGGAGGGGAGGTGGTGCCCTGAGTGACCCTCTGGCTGGGAGTGACCGAATGTTGGCAGAGAGATGGGGGACAGTGGGCAGGTCCAGCCTCCTGCCCGAGGGTTGTGTGCCGCCGCCATCCTCTCCATCCCATCCATCCCCAGTCCTGCCCGAGGCCGCACAGCTGCTCCTTGTCGGCCGGCTCAGCACTCTGGCTACAGGCCAGTTCCCACCCCGCCTGCCCCTCTCGGGACCCTATTCCTGCTGTCTTCTCACAGGGCAGTGACTGCCAGTGAGGGCCAGATGGGGGCAGTGCCAGCCCTGAGGTCCACACTGGGGGTTGGGTGGGCCAGCAGCCCTGGGCCTCAGTTTCCGTGGCCCTAAGAGGATGGGCGGGCGAGGGGCCAGGGCTGGGGCCTCGGGCCTGAGCTGTGGAACCTCACAGGCGGCGTGCCCCCTCAGAGCCCATCTCTGCCTGTCTGCGGATGGTGGTGGCCGAGGTCCCAGAGCTTGTCGAACGTCTCTAGGGTCCCCAAACCCTTTCCCTGGCCTGGCCTCAGGCGCCATCCTGGTGCCTTGACAGGCAGGGAAACAGAGGCTTAGCTTTGAGCTTTCCAGCAGATGCTCAGTGGGAGTCCAATGAGTGAATGAATGAATGAATGAATGAAGTGCAATACAGGGGGAATGGAAGCCCACAGCACAGTGGGGCTGGGGCCAGGAGGGATGCCACACAGCACCTGGGAGTCTGCCTACCCCAGCCTGACCGGCTCTCCCCTGCCTTGGGCTCGGCTTTCCCATCTGTACAATGGCCCCTGCAGGGCTCTGGGCTCCTCTGCCCTGTTGGGGCAGCTTCTCGGTTCCTCTCCTGCTTTCCCGCCTGCCCGGCTAGGGAGCAAGGACACCCCACACTGACCAGCTCTGGGAGGCCCAGCACAGCCCTCAGGGGACTCACCGCGCTTCGCCTGCTCCCCGGGGCTGGAGACGAGGCGCCGCTGGAGCCTGGGAGGCCTCCCGCTGCAGCTCTGCCTTACTCCGTCCGCTGCCTGGACCGCGCCTGGGCCCTGACGTCAGGCCGGCACTAGGGGCTCCTTTTGGGCAAAGGCAGCGGGAGGAGGGGTGGGGGCGGGGCGGACTCCTTCCGCCGCCCCTGCTATTCCCCAAGGAGCCTGATTCCAGGGCCCTGGGGGAGGGAGCCTAGGGCAGCAGCGCCCACAGCCCCAGCCAGACAGAGGGTGAAACTGAGGCACAGAGGGGCGGGGCCAAAGCTGTGCCACCCAGGTGGGGAGGGAGGATGGCCCCAGCACTGGCTCTCTGCACCCACTGGTGCCTGGGCAGGGGAGGCTGCTGGGACCCAGACGGCAGAGCTGACAGTGGTGTGCTGTCAGCACACAAAGGTCCGGTTTTCTGCCTGGGAGGGACAAACGCATCCCACGGCCCTGCCCCGTGTGGCGGCCACACAGGTTTCCGTGCTGCTCTCAGGAGCTGGGCTGTTAGTTTGGGCATGGGTGGACCCGTGACCTAGGAGGCACGCTCAGTCCTGGGCTTCCGTTGGGGCCCACTCGGGTGCGTCTCTGGGCTGGGTGTGGCTTCACAGGGGCACATGTGTGTCTGAGCTGGGGCCAACACCCACCCAGTGCCTGTGCGTAGCCTGGAATGGCCTCTGTGAGTGCCAAGCTCCCCAGGGACATGTGGGGTCGGGTACTTGGGAAGACCTGGACCAGGTGACAAGGACCAGTGGGATGGGCAGCAGGTCGTACATCTCAGAGGTCAGGCCTGAGCTGCACAGTAGTGGACATCCCTCCCCAGACAGGCCCCTGGCCAGTGTGGAGGCTTGTGGCCAGCCTGGGCCAGTCAGGGTTTCAGGGTCTGCAGGTGGCAGGGGCTAAGCTGGGGGGTGTAGGGTCAGGCCTTTGCACAGGCTGTTGTGTCTGCCTGAGTGTCTCCTCTGCCCCAGCCCCCTCCCCAGGCTGCCATTTACCCATGCAGCTTATTGCCAACATCCCTCAATCCAGCGCCTGCTGAGCTGGCCTCTGTGGGGTGCCAGGGACATAGGGATGACTGTGGAGAAGGGGCTGCTGGCCCGCGATCTCAAGCTGAGGGGAGGCCTGGCTGCAGTGCAGTGGTTGGGAGGGCTCCGGCAGGGGCAGTTGTAACAGGAGGTGGGCGGCCAGAGGGGCAGAGGCTGGAAGGCCATCCACCTGGGCTGCACAGCAGAGACCCCGCGAGTGGAGGGCAGGGATGGACAGAGAGGCCGGGAGTGGGCGGAGCCCCTGGAGGCTCACTTTTATGAGCTGGGCGGCTGCTGAGTCACACAGCAGGGCCAGCCAGGCCTCGTGCCCGCCTGGGGGCTCCACCTGGCACATGTAGGCTTGTGAACACAAGATGCCAGGGTACTGCCTGGGGAGCAGGGTGACAGTGTGGGTCAGTGTCCAGGACCCCTCGCCCCAGAGAGGCTCCTCTCTGTAGGACGCAGGAGTCCCAGGGCTGGCGGGGAGGGTGCTGGAGCCTCAGGGTGATCCTCCTATGGACTTCAGCACAGGGACAATCTCACCCTTGTCACCTCCACAGGCTAGGTCAGGACAGACTGTGTGTGGGGGGGGTCAGAGGTCAGATGGTGGCTGGGTCAGGGGTCAGGACCCCTTCCAGTGGGTCTGATTGGAGCAGTGTAGGGTGCCACTCCTCTCCTGGAGCCCAGCCTGGTGGAGAGCCCTCCCCGAGCCCACAGGCACCCCCACACCCACGCTGGGCTAGTGAGATTCCATAACACTCTCTCTGGGGCTCACGACCTGCCCGCGGTGCCCAGGCCACACTGCCACTACTGGAGCCTGCCATTCTGAGCAGTTAAGCCACAAATAGCAGCAGGGCAGAAATGGGGCCAAGGGGGAGGCAGGGGACACTTGGTGACAGCCAGGCTGGTCCCGGCACTGGGCTGGTGCCTGCAGCTCCAGACCTCATCTGTCTCCTGAGTGGCCCTTGTCTCGGTGACGCTGGGGGATGTAAACATTGCCAGGACCCTGGCCACATGTCCTGCAGTCTGCCCAGGGTCTTCCAGGGTAGGGGGACACAGGACAGCTCTGTGGGAGGAAGACTCCCACCCAAAGGGGTCTGGGATGCCCCTAGCCCTGGGATGACCTGGGGAAGATAGGTGGCAGCTGTGGCTGGGTGGGTGACCTGAAGGTCAATGGCCATGTGTCCCCTTATGTGCTCTGAACTCCATGGCAGGGGCCAGGCACCCATGGGGGAGGGTCAGGGTGGGCAGGGATTTTTCTATCCCTAAAGAGAGGTGGTCTTGAGTGTCTGGGGCCAGGGGGCCCTTGAGCAGCCCTGGATTCCAGTCTGGCTGGACCACTAGTGTCTCCCCACCAAGTGGGGACAACACAGACTGAGACCCCACGTCAGGTCCCCTCCTGTAGCACGCACCCAGTCCTGCCGTGTCATGTGGGACACTGGGCAGGAAGGCCCACCCCGGCAGAGCTGGAGAAACGGCAGGAGCTGCTGCCTGGAGGGTGAGTGAGGGGCCTGAGCTGGGAGGTGCCCTCCTGTCCTTCACCTTGTGTCCTGGAAAGAACTGGGTCTGTCCGGGCTGGACAGCTGGGACTCCACCACAGCCCTCCTGCGGGGAAGTGCCCAGGGGCCTTAGCACCGGCCTAGTGCAGTTATTGCAGGAACTCACTCTGAAGCCCTGGGAGCCATCACCTCTGGGACCTCTGGGACCACCACCCTGGATGCAGCCCCATGCTTCCCTGGGCCGCTCTCCCATGCCCCATTTGTCAAGCTAATCTTTGACTTTTACAGGTGGAGAAATTAAGGCCCAGAGAGGGATAGAGACCTGCCCAAAGCCCCCCAGCCAGAAGGTCATTGCAGATACTGTTGGGAACCAGGCTTGGGCTTCTGGGCTGCCTCTGGCAGCTGTACGGCAGCCCTGACTCTTGGACCCACAGTCCACCTGGGGCAGGTTGTTTGACCTCCTATCAGACCCAGTGCCTGGGACCACGAGAACAGCCTCCACGTGGGTCCTTGGTGGGCTTAGGGTGGGATGCAAGGTGGCTTTTGGTGCTGCTAAGGAGAGGCTTGTAGACCTGGCAGAGGCCCCCAGGCCCCTGGAACAATAAGAGGGGCCCCTTTGGGTACAGTAGGGAGGTGCAGGGGCACTGGGCTCATTGATGAAAACCCCCAGGGTGGATCCGGCTGGGGAGGGCTTGCTGGAGGGGGTGGCCCCAGGGCAGGCTTCAGGCAGGATTGCAAAGCATCTCTCCCAGAGGAGCGGTGGTCCTGGCAGGGCTGCAGGCTGCGCTCCGGCTCCATCCCAGGCCCTGCTTTAGGGGTCACACGTGCATTGTCTTACCTCCACAGCAGCCTGGAAGGGCAGGTGCCATTATGACCCCACCTTACAGATGTGGGAACCGGGGCCAAACTAGTCTGCTGACCATGTCCCCCAGCTGGAGAGCAGCTGGTAAGAGTCCGAGCCAGACCCCTCAGTCCCACAGCGCGCTTCCTCCACATCGCAGCCCAGGACACACGTGTCTGCTTCTACTCCCTCCGCCCTCCAACCCCCAGCCCCTGCACACATGTGCAGCACCCTGGCCTGTTCCAGCCCCTGTGCGTGTGCGTGCACTTGCTTCACACATGGCCTGCATGTACACACACACACTTGCATGTGTGCACAAGGCACACATGACACTCACACTGCTGTGCACACATGCATACACAGACACACATGTATGTGCACACGCATGCCCCTCCCCAGCCTCCTGGCTTATGTCAGGTCCTCTCGGGAGGCATGTCTGCAGCCCTCTCCCACATGTGCAGGCTGGGCCCTGGCTGGAGAGGACGCATTTCTAAACAGGAAAAGCTCTCTTGGGTGGCAGTAAGTCTTCCCTGTGTCAAACATTCCTCCCTGGCCGGGCCCCGCTGGCCCTCCCTGGAGTCACACCCGGCCCTGTCTGGCTTGACTGGGGAGGCCACCCATTTGGCCTACCTTTTATATGCAAGCAGACTGTGGCCCAGGAGTGGAGCTCAGCCCTCCAAACTGACTGCTGCTTCAGCCTCTGAGCCTCCCCGCAGTCTGAGTGGGGCTCCCTCTCATGGCCCTGGCCCCTCAAATGTGACGGCCAGGGGAGGCAGGGGTGCATCTCAGTCCTCCCTGAGACCCCAGAGCCCAGCCAGGTCCAGCTCAGGAGATGCTGGGGGAATGGCAGAGAGGACAGTGGGACAATGGCTGCTGGTCTAACCGGAGGCATTCCATGTGCCCGGTTCCAGTCCTGAACTTGGATGACCCCAAGGAGTCAGGATGGGGTGAGGGAGCTTCGGGGGCCGGGCCGTGGCGCCCCTGCCGCCTTGGGACCTCCTACCAGGGCCAAGGATGAGGCAGGGCTGCTGGGCTACTTGGTCACCAGGGTGAGAGACAGAGAAGGCCTGCCTGTGGCCTGAGCCCCATTCCCTGCCCCACAGCCTCCTCTGGACTTGGCCCAGGTTGGGAGGGCCCTGGAGGGGCTACAGTAGGTACCCGAGGGAGCCCTGGTCCTCTGGCCTGAGGACATCGTGGGGTGGGCTGGGCCTGTCCCCCTGTAAGTCCTAGGCTCTGTGATACAAAACAGTGTGAGTGGTGACCTAGGGGGTCAGTCACTCAGCAGGTAATGGTGGCTGGGGTGTAACAGTAACAGCTGCCATTTAGGGGGTGCTCACTAAGTTCCAGGCATGGGGTGGGGTGCTCCAGGTGTTCCCTCAGTGGGGGCAGACTTGCTGCCACCCTTGTTTGGCAGAAGAGCAGCGGGAGGCCCAAGGTCGTGCAGCTAGGAACGGGGAGAGCTGGGATTTGACCCAGGCAGTGGGCCAGGCCTCCAAAGCCCTGAAATTGCTCTGCATGGCTGGGTCTGCCTTCTCTCCAGAAACCTCGGGGACCGATCCCCCAGGCAGGGTGGAGAGGATCCCACGCCCCGGGAGCCCTGTGCCCAGGTTAGTGTTAGGCTCAAGGTCTCTTCCAGGCTCAGGCCCCTATCCTCAGGTGGCTGACCACCCCAGGCCTGGGGGCCCAGGGCTGTGGCTCACTACACAG